AATTAAAAATAACAATCAGTAAAATAAATAGCAAATAGAGATTTAATTATTAATATTGCATTGTTTACCAACCGTACCTCATTAAAAAACGCGACCTTTGACGTTCAACTCATCACGTGGAATTAAGGTTCCTTTTTGATTCTGATAGTAAATTACATAGGTGAGGTATAACAGTAATCCACTATAGCAATTGACTATACAGTATATGCGAGTTCAAAAATTATCGGGACTACGTATACTGTATGTGAAATTATATATTACAGTAGCTTTTTCTTTATATACAATAAATTGATTGGTCGATCATAGTACCATTTGTAGTAAACCTCATGACCGTGGTTGATTCTTTTACATGCGGTGAAGAAAGTCCGGTGAAATCTTAAAAGGTAAGTCATTTTTTATAGTATGTATCTTGGAAATTGGCTTTTTTTGGTTTTGACAATTTCTCCGGTTATTGCGAAGAAATCCTTATACACATTGTAAAAAAGTATTTTGTAATTATGATTATACTATATATAAGTAATAACTTTATACTGTATCGTACCCTTCAACAATTCATCGCGGTGTACAAAATAATAACAACTAAAATGGTAAAAAAAACAACCTGATTATCATTGTTTCTAATATGTGCGCTCAAAACGTGCAGAATAAATGCTACCTGTGCATAATGGGGTCGATTCAGCCATAGTGGAAATAAATCTCTTTGGTCAAACTCAAGATGTTTAGTATGTGTGAGGTCAGATTTTTTTATTGGAGACGGATAACACGTATGTCGTGCCTATCTTGATTTGCGATCGTTATTGTGCATTATTCAAACACAAAATTGATCCTCAGTGTTTCTTCCCTACATGTTTTCCCCTTCCTCATTGAGAAATCGTTGACGTTATGTTATTTAAAACATTCCTTAATCTTGATTCTTGCTTTAACGTCATTGGGCACCTTAATTATCCAGATTTATTGGCTTTTATCATCTTACAGTAAAGCGGGTGATGGTAGAATATCGTAGATCGCCGATTTATGCCCAATTCTCTTAAACTTTTCATTACCAATCTGATTTTTAATATGTCGTGATTTTCGACTCCTTCGTTCCGTTTTGCACATGCTACAGTATAGGATAAAGATTTACATTAAAGGCAACTCAATAAATACCCATAATGTAACAAAATAGAATCGGATCTAAAAATTCTGTTCCGCATCGAATTTTCATTTGTGTATAGACGATAATATCTATAGTTTGAAGTCTTGATTCGGTAGCCGTCATCCGGGATGAGTCTTCATTGTTTATTATACATAAAGTATAAAGGGCGTTCCAGAGAGAGTCGTACAAATAAAAATGGCAAAAATCTTCATCTCGCCGTACTTTATTTGCTTCTGTTAAGCATCATTAGCATCATTAGACTTTGAGCTTTGTTCCTGAATACTATAATTACCATACAATTCTTTTTTATTATATTTGTTTTTTTTTGAAAATCATGTTTATTTCACTAACTCCTAATTCAAGGCGAAAGGTATTTGAAATTTCTCGATTCTACTTTCCATGACTACCCATCAATGAGACAAACCGCTCATTCCCGGTCAAATATTCCAACACTTTCTTCTTTTATAAAAATTCCCCTTTACATTATTTAGTGGAAGAGATTAAATGCGTCAATTTGGACTCGTCTATTCATCCTCACCTCGATAATTCAAGCAATAATTGGTATATTCCTTGAAGTTAGAGTGCTCATTCGAAACAATGAAATCCGATTAAAAATTGCAAGTCCTACTTCTTCTGATTGTGATGTTTCTTCGTCTATGCGAAGGATGGATAGGATTGAGGGAGAGAATGGTGTCTTTATCATTTTCCAAGGATTTCAAATGTGGTTATGTATGAACACGGTAGGCACAATTTGTTTTGCGGTGAAAGTTGAATGTTTGCACACCTTTCTCATCCTGTTGTTTTGATAGATATTTAAAAAAGACACGATCCAATTAATCGTCATTACGGTGTTGAATTTCATCTGTTCCGCATACAGCATTGTAAGTAAACTTTCCCGTGAATTTCGAGTATCGCGTACACCTCTTCACTCATCTTAACTTGGTATAATAATCTAGGTCCAAATATCAGAAATTAGAATCTGGCGCAATAATTTGTGTCAAGGAATAAACATATCAGATCCTGAAATACTTCGATACGATCTCCCACTTGTGATCTTCTTAATGACTTTCGCCACCATAATGGGATTTTTATGTTATAAATTATATGGAGATTTTGGTTGGATCATTTATCGAAGGATACGAGGGAATCCTGTGATAAGGAGTAATGAGCTGCCTACTTTATTTCATTTGTTTGACGATGAGAATATCTTTGAGAATTTGAATTGTCTAACTGAATTTTAATTCTTCAATTGTTAAATCAGGGATCTATAGAACTTATCTAATTTTCGTCATACTCCTGAAACTTGATGTATTCTTCTTGTTGGTGCTCGCCGTTGAATCTTGGATAATATTTTCGGCCGATCAATTTTCCATCAAAAGCGAATTTAGTTATGTACCTGAAAGCTACTCCATATTTCACTACGTGGTAACCTCGTTAATTGGTTTTCTACTGGTTCTCGCGTTCTGCTCTGTAAGTTTCTCGTTCGTTATCCGAGATAACTCATGAATGGGATCTCGAGGGATCTTTGGGTCTTTTGATTTACATGTATCTAATTTATTCGCCATCAAAAAACAAATTCACAGACAAAGAAAGAATGGAAAATTGGGATGTACGCCTTCAGTGCACTTTGGATAGCGGTCATTATTGATTTTGCGCTTATCCTACGATATTCCTTTACCGAGGACACTTGGTATTTCTTTATCGCCTTTCGTGAGTATCACGTTTAGATCGAATGTTTTTAATTCTTGATGAATCCGGCTTTATCTAACTCAAAGTTTTGGGTCCCTTCACTCTTATAGTACTTGTTGCCATTTTATTAGCAACGGTAGGCATAATATCGAAGACTTATCATATAATTTCTATCTTTGTTTCTAAATTTTCTTTTTTTTTTTATCTCGATTTATCAGACGACATGGGTGTGGGGAATATTTGTGCTACAAAATTTTGACCGGGGGCTGAAAGATGTTTGTAAGTAAAAATTTAACAAATTTCCCATCTATTGTATTTCATCCTTTCGATAATGAAATTCAATCATATAATGTCTAAAATAGTCAACAGGGCTCCAGACAATCCGGGTGCTGGCCAAGATCCTATTGATGATGATGATGAAGAAGGTGGCGGTAGTAATGTTATTTTGAATTGACACAATATCTTGACGATTGATAACCAGAATATTGTATAAGGTGCATGATGGATTTTCGGGCCGAAGAGATACTGTATTAATTTTATCAAGTGGACTCTTTATTCCCGCTATTGTATTTATATATGTATTTTCCTTATTCTTTCCCAAAAAATATCAAACACGATTGATATTTTAATTTGGCGGCACCTCTGATGGTACTAGATACACATCAAAGAAAGGAGAATATGCAGCGATAGACCCGTAATCAATTCGTTATGTTGATTATATCAGGAAGATCAGTGAGAAGAACAGTAGTTAAAAGTTTGAAACAAACGTGTTGGTCGTTCCGGAAAGTCACGGTATTTTTTCGAAGTATATAGTGAGACCGACTCAGGACCAGACAAATTTCGGGTTATCTGAACAGATCGATGACGAACTTTCCAATATTATAGGAAGTATCGCTATTGATTATATTTCTTCAAAAAATTTTTTACAAAAACATTATTGTATATAAAAAAATTATCTACGTTATTTATCACTATCATTTTATTCATTATTAAAAACTCGTTCATTCACGATCCGAAAATGATTATATACGTATGTTTCTAATAATATTTATTATTAAAGCACGGTCGGTGGTGAAATGGTTTTTTTTTTTCATTTCGTTTATATGAGCTGAAATTTATAAATAATAAAAATTTAATCGATATTTTTTTTTAAATTAAATTAAAATAATTATTAGTAGAATTATTATTATTATTATTATTTGCATTTTTTAATTTATTATATTAAATAAAAATAAATGAATTGTTATTATAGGTAACAAAACATTGGGGATTTTGTATCGGAGACCAGATAATTAACTTTTGTTGACCTTATTCAAAATTTATTATTTTTCATTTTCATTTTTCATTTTCAATTCGAAGGGAGTTTTTTTTTTTGGCAACATATTTTTTCTAACTGGTTTACAATGTAATTGTTAAAATAAACATTTTTATCTAATTTTTTCCGATCAAAAGTTTGCCATTTTGAAACATTCAGTCATTGATAAAAATTTTTAATAATTATGAACTTTGTATTTACATATGAATATTAAGTTGATGTATCAACTGATTTAAAATATCGCATTAATCACCCTCTATATTGGTTTTATGTTGATTCTCATTTCTTAGCTGCTTTCCTTTTCCGACTCTGCAGTCTCTTCAATTTCTTTGCCGAATACTAAAAAAGGCGTTACTATATGCTCGTGGATATAGAATCATAAAGTCATTTAACTTACTATAGCTGCCAATTTTTCTTGTTTTTCCTTTTCTTCCAATGCTTGTTTCCTTTTCAACGCAGCTTCACGTTTTCGCTTGTTTCGTGAACAAAAACGTATAAATGTATTAATTAAATATTGTTGATAACATTACAATTGATCCATTGATCGATGGTAAATTACCTCTTTTTCCAAGGTGACTTCGTTCTTCAGTTCCTGTTCCAAAAGTTTCGTGATCTCCTTCTCTTTTCGTTCAGCTAAACGTTCGTCCCAACCTTTGCGTAAACTAGGTTGGAGTTGCGAACGTCTTGTTGCTGTCTTTTGATATTTCCACGGTTTGCCTATCATAAGATCTTGAAAATTGAGTATCATCTCAATGGCAATTCAAAAAAATTTTTTTTAATATAACCTGACACCCTTCGCCCTATTGCCTGTTCTGCGTTTGATTTCATTGTGTTTGAAAATTTTTTCGGATGAGCCTATTTATATATAATTTTATAATTGTTGCACGTGATTAGAATCTATTGATTCTGTATCGTATCGTATCAAACATAATTTTGCATTAAATAATAATAACATAAAATCATTAATCTAACACGAATTTTTAATTAAACAAAAATTTTATTATAAATAAATAAATAAATAACCATTTTAATACTAACTTGTCTATAAAAATATATCTCAATTATATAAAAAATATAGTATTATTTGTGATATTATATTAAACTTTATAAATATTTATTTAAAATTAAATATATTGTATATTTGTATTAAAGAAATTATTATTTTTTGATTAATGACAAAATTTTGAATTAAATATAAATTTGTATATGCTTCTTAATAATTTTATTACAATATGATTTATAAAAAAAATATTCAAAATTAATTTTTTTTATATACAATATATATAATATATTGTATTGTTCATGTTAATTTAATTAATTATTAATTATTTTATTATAAAAAAGTAAATTTGTTATTTTATACTTTCATTTAAAAAATTATTATTAGCTTGGATTTTAAACTATCATATTAATATATATTTATACTTTAAAAAATAAAAATAAAAAAAGTAAAATATGTTATATTAATAATAAAATTTTTTTATTATTATTTATAATTAATAAACTATTTAACTTTTATTTATTATACAAACTTATTATACAAGTATTTTTAAAATAATTAATACTAAAAAAAAAAATAAAATAATTATATTAATATTTTATTTTTCTATTATAATTAATTATATTATTAGATTTAATATTATATAAAATAGATTATATAAAAATTATATATTTTGTTATTATGTATTAATTAAACAATTGAAATTTTTATCTAGCTATTATTTGAAATTTTTAAAAATATATATATATAAGATTAAAAAATTTAAAGTAATAAAATTTTAAATAATTAAATAATTTTTTTAAATTTTTAAATATTTTTTAAAAAAAATATCTATTTTTTTATTTATTTGTTAAATTAAAAAAATTATTTAAAAAAAAAATAAATAAATAAGAAAAAACTAAAATTAGGTAATAATATTATTTTAAAAAAACAAATAAATTTTATTATAAAAAAATAATATAATTATTTTAAAATATTTGTTTTTAAATTGGCAAAAAAATTACTAATATATATATAGTGATTTAAAAAAAAAATTGAAATTTATATCATGTTGTTACAGTTAAAGATGGGTTCCTAAATTAAAGGCGAGGACATAATTCAAATGTCCCTTACTATTAAAAAAGTTTTTTTTTAAATATAAGGTCAAAAAAAACTATCTACAAAGATTTTTTATAATTTAGGCCACTTGATCCAAGTGTTTTTGAAATTATGTCCCTATTAAAGTAATGAATAAATAATTATATCTCTTCAAAAGGAACATAATTGATCTGCATAATTTTATATGCTAAATAGTTTAGGGATCCATCCTTAGTTACAATAAAATTATAACAAGTTAGTTGCTTTAATTTAATTTACGTTATGTAATGCTTGAGAAGGTTTTCTTTTTAAAAGAGATATGTAAATTTGGTCAGAATTCGTAACACCAATACAGATCAGTCTATCAGTTTGTGTTCTATTTAATTACTTTGTGTGCAGAAATTTTTTTTATTATATAATACTAGAAATATTCTCATCAAATCAAACTTTACCAAAAAAAGTAATATTTATTTCATAGATAAAACCTGTTATCAAATTTAATCTATTTATTTCTATTTATGTACATTATATACTGTATATTATATTGTTATACTTGATTTTCACTCAAGATTTTCAATACTTCTTATTTGATTTTTACTAGCATTGATTCTTAAAATATTAACTGTTCTAAAATAGTTTTATATTACAGACCTGTTATTGCACTTTTGACATCTATTGTACCTATTGCACCTTTGCTATTTCTAGAATATTTCTATTTTATTTTATTTTTACCTTTTATATTATCTTCATCAAAGTATTTATCTATATAAATACTAATACAGTTGAATATTCTGATAAAGATAGTATTTATATCTTAATTTATATTTTTACCATAACATATATTTATTCTGTACAAAAATATTATAACTTAAACATATATACAAAAGCTCCAATTTTATCTAGAAATTGACAGGCTTGAATATATATTTTATCGAATAAATATCTTGATCTTTACAAAAACAAATCACTATTGCCTTTTTTACTTGACCTTATATACCTCAAAATTGTACTAATTTGTATGCCTATAGGAACTTTAGCACATCATATTGGTCCTGTCTATCTAAAGTGCCTTTCTACTATTAGTTCTCTATCTTTATCTTTATTCTAAAGTAAAAATAATATATAACAATATTTAATATACTTACTATTATACTTACCCTTATAATTTTTTATAATTTATCTATCACTTTTTTTTATAACAATATAATTAATTTAGTAATAACTTTTTATATAATATATATTATATTTAAATTAATTTAAAATAATAAAATATAATTTTTATATTATAAATTAACTGATTTTATTAGAGATCTCTTATATGATACTAATCAAAATATTTCTTTTTATTATATATTAATAAAAAATATCAAGAGATTTTATTACATTGTTAAAATAATAAAGTATGTTTGATGTCCAAATTACATATACTTATCAAGATTTTGATCTTTACTATTTATTATAATATTCAAAAATTAAAAAAATAAAACTATAAGGTATAAAGATAAAAATAGTTATTCTCTTAAAATAATGTCTAATATAGCAAAAGTAATATGTCAATATATTCATTGAAATCTATTTATTTCACTTAAAAGTATTGCTAATAAATTATTATTCAAAGGTATTCAACTTAATTATTTAACTATTTCAAAATACTTAATAGATTCTGAATATAAAAAAAGCTTATTTAAAGTCACATCAATGTTTATACAATAGTATAAAGAAAAATGAATTGAATAGATATGAAAATATTTAAATTGCAATTGGAAAAAAGTTTTATTTACAAATGAAACTATATTTCAGTTGTATTAGAACACAATTTAATATTGATATAAAGATGAAAAATCAATTTGATATGAATCAAAAGATTGAATAAAAACTTTTGTATGGAGTGGATTTAGCATAAAGAAAATAAAATTTTTATTTTATTTTCAAATAGTAATGACAGGTAGCTACTATATAAAAATTTTAAAAAATTATCTTTTAGAAGTTAAACAAATGTTAAAAGGCAAATAAATCTTTTAGTATAATAATAACCCAAAACATATTAGTAAGATTGCAAAATAATTTCTTTAAAATAATATTTTAGAAATAGTAAATTGATCAGTAAATAATTCTAATCTAAATTCTATAGAAAATTTGTAAAATATCATAAAAATAAAGATAAAAAAGTATAAGCCAAAAAATTTGCAAGATTTAAAAAACTTTATAAAGAAAAAATGAATTAATATTTCAAAGACTGTTTTAATGAATTTGATTAAATTCATATCAAAATGTTGTAAAGTCGTTATTGCAAATAATGGTGATGTAATTGATTTTTAAATTCTATTATATAAATATATACCTTATAAATTTTTAAATAAATAAAAAATTTTAAGTTTTTTTTTTTTTTTTTTATCATAAAAGGGCATTAGATGCAAAACTTTATTAAGTATATAAATTGATACACAAATTACATCAAATATCTTTATATAGTATATGTAAATTAATATTAATCTATCTATGATGCTAACTATTGCTATCCTAATTACACTTGATGTAACTCAAATTGGCTCTAGTGCTAGATGGTTAATGTCCTTCCAGAGCTAAAAGTAGGTCCAATGATTTAAGTATGCTGTTTGATTTAGCATATTGTGAATCTGATTCCATAATGATTTATTGGAGAAGGTCTGATTCTTGTAAAGGGCCCATTGTATTTTTAACTTTTGTGTCTTGTGTACTGTATCTGGTTTTGATCCATTTGATTCCTATTGATATTGATGTGTTTGCCATTGATGATCTGGATATCCATATTAATGTATAAAGAAGTTTCAACACACTGTTTGTAAACTTGGCTAATTTTTTTTTTGAGAGGTGGATATTCGGAGTTGTTATGCTGCATGCTATCTTTTCGGATTGTGATTTCCTGTTAATATTGAGGTCCAGTAAGTGTTGTGATGTTGCGTTGACTTCCTTTGAGAGCTTCTTTAATTTGGAGTTCATTTTGGTTTCGATTTCCTCATACACTATAATGTTTTTGTAACATTTAAAAACATGTTCCTGTGTTTCTAGTACGATTGAGCATCTGGGGCATAGATTATCTTGATAGCTGTCAGGATATCTTTTATATAGTAGCTTTCTTGTGGGAAGAGTTCTACTAAGAATTTTGTTTTTGAAGGCCAACAAAGATGAGGAATTATATTTGTCTTTTTTAATTAATAGATTGTTTGCGAGTACAAGATGCTGCAGTGTCTCTAGTTTTAGTGTTTGATTCCATTTGCTTTTAATTGATGAACTGTTGATTAAGTTGATAAGCCTATAGGATTGCTAGACTTTTTTAAGCCATGTTATTGCGCTATAGCCCCACATGTTCTTAATAAGTGGACTAGTGATGTATTTGTTGATTTCTATTATATTGTCTATACAGATTATTGAGTCGCTTTCCTGGAAGTTGAGAGGATTATTGAGTTTGTTTAATTGTAACTTGATTTCTTTGGAATTGCATAGTGTAGAGATACAATTTACTAAATAGCTATAGGCTGTTTTGATCTTACGATTAACATAGCTAGAAGTAGATAGATTAGAAACTTTGGTGGCATTGACTGACATGTAAATGTCATTTTTGGCTGCTGCTAAGATTCCGATTAAGACTAAGAGTATGCTAATGGGTTGCTTATACTCAGAGTAACATGTAAGTATCGAATTGTTTGCTTTAGCTATTATGAGACCATCTTTGATATCTAGGTCTATAGTAACAAAGAACAATTTTGGCATG